CGAAACGTGACTGGAAATTGTAGGCGACTCAGCGCAGCACTCAACGAAAAATTTTTTTTTTTTTTTTTTCAATTTTATAGTTTTCATTTTTACTTTTGCGGTTAGTCGTTAGGGATTAATGTTGGAATGGTGCGTGAGTGTATCTAATATTAATAACTAAAAAGGAAAAATGCTGTGTATCTACTCACCGCGATCTTATTTGCTCGTTGGCCAGCTCGGTGCGTGGAAATTTTTTCGACGCCGCCACTGCTGTCTCCAGTGAACTGGTGTCCTCTAGTTCACCTTCCAGTGTGACGAAAATAATGGAGCCCATAGCGGTGTAGAGTAGTACGAGCAGGAGGACGCCTATGAGAGGTGAGAGAATCAAATGAATAGCGGTAGATGAGAAAATGTGTCATAAATTGTACACCTTTATTGCATAAATATTGCGTGTTTAAGAATTTTGAATCCCTCTCCTATGAACCTTCTAGCCCTCTCTTTCGCTCTCGCCGGCTATCTCCTTTTCTCCTCTTCCTTTCTTGCCATATTTCTGCCTGACACACTATTTTCCTGCCTTATTTCTTCTCCATACCACCATTCCTTTTACTTTATTTCCTTTCCTCTCCCTCTCCTAACACATTTGCGATTCTTAGAGTTCTTCTCTGCACATTAGCTGTTATATCTTAATTTTTTCCTCTCCGCCTCATATACTTCTTCTTTTTTATAGAGTTTTTATTTCCTTCATGTATTTCTCTAAATTATGTTTTTCCTCTACTTCGCTCTCTCTTTCTCTCTGCCCTATAGCTCTTAACTTTTCTCTTCTCTTTCTCTCTCATTCTTAATTATTATTATAGTTTTCCTTTTCTCTCATAACCCATATTCAATTTTATCTCGCACTCTTTTTAATCTTCTATTTATCCCCCTGTATCACCATTATTCTCTCTTTATAGCTAATAATCTCCCCCTTCGATGTAATTCCACCTGTATATCACTTTCTTACTCTCAGCTCCACTTATCCATTTTTTCTATCGTTAACCCACGAGTAGAGATCAAAGGAGGCGCCCATCTTGATACCGCTTTTCCGCTCTCAGTGAATTTGACAGAATCACTGTTTGTATGACGTCACACTGGTGTAACTTGTTTACCTTTTTTCTTGCAAAATTTCTTTTTCTTTTTCCATTCTTGCTTGCGTTTGGCATTTATCTCTCAGAACTGCACATCACACAAAAATTATTCTCAAAAATCCTCTCTGATGGGCGTAATCTTGTATTCTACCATTCTTGTCGGTAATCTACACCTCTATTCTCCTCCTTTCCCTATTGTACTGCTAATGTTCCTTTCTCTCCCATTTCACCTCAGCATCTTTGTAGCTACTCCACTATATCTAACTGGTGATATCTCTCCATTTCGCTATCTATTTATGCCTCGCCCTATCCTAGTGTTATTTTCTCCCCACATTTTCTCATACTAATTTCCTCTCCCTCTTCCTTCTCGTAAGCAGCATGTCTTTGCTTAGTTTCCTAATATCCAGCCATCTATTTTCTTTCTATCTTTCACTATATCGAACTCTTCATATCTCTCCTTTCGCTCTATATTTATGTCTCGCTCTACCTTAGCGTTTTTTCCTCAGCCACCCTTTCTCATCCTGATTCTCCCTCTTCCTTTCCTTTATGTCTTTTCTTTAGTTTCCTTTCTCCTGTTACCTATCTCATTACTTTTTTTCTATCTTCTTGATTAACTTTCTTGTTCAAATTTCTTAACTTTTCGCCTTTAATTTTTCCTTTTTCCATTTCTCCGTATTTTCCGTTCCTCTTATATATTTTTACTCCCAAACATTTCCGCCATCTCTTCCTCTCTAGCTAGCTCCCTTCATCCATATATATCCTGTCTCTTTTCAATTATGTTTTTATCTATAATTTGCTCTGTCTCTCTGCCGGCTCACTCTACCTTTTTATTTATTTCTCTCTTTCTCTCTCTCTCTCTCTATCTCTATTTTTAGCTATTCCATCCTATCCGTGTTTATCTCTCTCCTGCTTTGCCTTTGTCTACCTATCTTTACACTCACCTGTCGCCGATATGCAATGTGATTTGGGCGCCTTGTGGCAGCCACACAATCCTCCACCGCCACCATGGCGATCGCGTTGTTTTTCTCCGCTACTTCCGCCGCCGCTGGTGCCACCACCACTGCCACTACCACTTTTACTGCTGGGAAAACACATTCCACTGCCAAGGCTGCTGCTGCTGCTCGAACTGGTCGCCGATTGGGAGGCGGGTATGAGGGTGGGGCCGCCAATGAATGCCGTCAACGGCAATGGTGGCTTCTTCTGCATAATAACGCCCCGCTGCGGGCGAGCGACCTAGGTGACAACAATGGCGAGCGTGGAGATGTGGGTAAAGCAGGGAGCGAATTGAAAGGTTTTTTTTTTTGGCAAGGGCAGCGTTAAAAGTTTAGCACTCTGGCTCCTTTTCGATCACTTTCGAACGAACTTTCGCTCTCTTTTCCTCTCTTGGTTTTACTCTCTCACAATCTCTTCTTAACCACTACAGTAGGCGATAATGCAGCTATTGGGAAGATAACTCTCATAGCTTTGTCAAGCAAGGCTTTCCTTGAATTTTCACAGTGAACACAGCCTTTGTTTCAACTTTTGCTAGTTCTACTTTACAAATTTACACGCCCGTCAACATTTTCATCATATTTTTTTAAATTTTTCCACACTTTTTTTGCAGCTTTCTAAACTCTTCTTTCCTTCGTAAATTAAGTTTAATTTTTTTACACTTTTCCGCTTTTATGTTTTTACGCTTTTCGCCTCAGCATGGCTTGTTGCTTGCCGCTTGCTGCTCTTATGAACACTTATGTATTTATCCTGAGTTGTTATATTTTTTTGTTGCTTTCTTGCTGCTCCACTTAAACAGTGTCTGCTGGCAAGGGCCAGCTGTTGCAGTTGTTTTTTCCGCCGCTGGAAGCTGTAATAAAAATGAAAGTAATGAGAGATAGAGTTAAATAACTTTTTATTACATACATATACATATATATGTAAGTCCATAGATACAGAGTAGGGATAGAATATAAGCCAGAAAGCGAGCGAATAAACGGAGGGAATATTTAGTTTCGCTTAATTTAAAAGCATTTTATTAGATTGGCATTAAGCTCGTTAAAAATGTATGCATGTATGTATGTATGTATGTGTGTTGCTTATAAAATTTAAGTATGTTGCAAAAAATGCAACAAAGGAATTAATTAGTTGAGCTTTTCCATAGCCGAAAGGGGGTAAATGAGAAAATTAGATAAACGAAGGCAACTGTTATTTGCGCAACTAGAAATAAATAAAGTTGAGTTGTGGTAAGTGGAAAATTCGTTTGTAATTGCAGAAAACAAAAAGAGATGTGAAAATATAGCAGTAGCGCTGTTGGCGAAAAATAAAAAGTTAAAAAAAAAAAAAAATAAAATATTTTTTTAAGCAAAAAACCGACTTCAATTCCCATATAAAATCTTAAGAGTACCGTTATTTCTTCATGATCCAAAGAATCAATGGTAGTTTCAAGAATGATAAGGTTGTTAAAATATTTATAATGACACTAGAAGAGCGATTCGATGTACTAAGGTGCGTTTTATGTTCTCATTAAAACGGCGCTTATGCACACAAAAATATACGCTTCCTTAGGCAAGAGAGATACAACCCTACTTACGCCATTACCGTAATACGGTAATTACATGAGGTAATTTTAAATAAAAAAAAAATATATATGTATATCGTTTTAAAACAATAAAAACTAATAAATAAAAGAAAAATAAATTTAAAAAATAAAAAACAAAATGAAAGTCAAACAAAACAAATGAACATATTTTTAATAATTAAATAATATAAAAAAAAAATATTTTCTTTTTAAAACAATAAAATCTACACATTAAAATGGAAAAAAAAAATCAAAAAAGAAGAAAATAGTACATAAAAAAATCGTTTTTTTTTTTAACACAATAATATGTGCAAATTAAATTAGAAAAAGACAAAATAATAATAATCCCAAAAAAAAGAAGACAATAACTCTTAAAAATCAATTTCTTTTTAAAACACTAAAATCTACAAATTAAATTAGAAAAAGAAAAAAACTTAAATCAAACAATTAAGAAATAATACTTAAAATTAGAAATAAAACAAGTTTTTATTATTAAAATAAAATCTAAAAAATCAAAGAAAAATAAATTTAAAAAAACCAGCTGAAATTAGAAAAAATAAATAAAATGGAATCCCAAAAATCAAATGAAAAAATATATGTTTATATTGAAATAAATAAAAGAAAAAATATTGAAATAACAAGAAATAAACAGAATTTGTTCCTAAAAATTAAACTAAATTAAAAAACATCGTTTTTAAATAAATATATTCAAGTTAAACAAACAAGTCAAACAAAAAATACAAAAATCAAAGGAAAAATAAACTAAAAAAAAAAATATTTAAAAAAGAAAAAATTTAAAAAAGTTCCCAAAAACTAAACGAAATTAAATAAAATATTTTTCTTTTAAAGGCAGTAAAATCTAAAAATCAAAGGCAAATTAAATCAAGAAAGAGGAAAAATTTAATTAAAAAAGTAAAAATACATAAAATAAGTTTCTAAAATTTATATGAAATTAAAAAAAATATATTTTTAAGTGCTTTCTCTCAAAATAGCATTTCACCACGAGTGGTGAATGAGAGAGCCTTTTTTAAACTTGTTGCTACAATAAAAGCCTTTCGCTTGTCTTACGAAAGATTTTTTACTATCTTAGCCAGAATTGCTCTGGAAGTCTACACGTACATACATACATATAAGGCTCAAATCATACATAGATGGCGCTGAACGCGAGGTTAGTGGCGGTTAATAGAAAAGGAGGAGAGTAGAATAGCCAAAAAAATATTAGACAACTCAGCGGATAGAGATCTGCTCACTCCTCAAGCAAACGTAGTTTTGAAAGTATTTATTTCCGTGGGGCTAAAATTAACTTCTTAGATGGTGCTAGCGAGAATGAGCATGACGAAGACTAGCCAATAAAAATCCATAAAAATTCTTCTGCGAAATAGTGGCTACCGACAGCCAGAAGGATTGCTATCCGCGTCCAATCATAAGAACCATTAAAAATAGACACTGCTGTTGTTTACATATGAAAATAAAAACTAAGCAAAAATGGCGCTGAGAAACTCTGTAGGTGGACATCAGCACATCAGAGTGTTTACAATCTTAGCATAACTCTTCCACTTCATAACTCGTATGTTCGCCGCTCTGCTGGAACTCCTTGTCTCGCTAATTGCTGTCGCTCACTTCGAGCAAATTTTTTTCGACGATATGCAAAGCACACAGAACTCTCGAATTGACAAACAGACAGTAAATGCACGAATTTGCATAAATCAGCAACTGTCAGTCGACAATCAGCAAACAGAGTAGCCAGCATCCTGAAAACCGCCAACATTGCAATATCCCAAAAGAACCGGTAAAGAACCGGCACAGCAAAGCAATTAACAAATCGAAGCGAGCCAAAACAAAAAAAAAAGATAACAAAAAATGTGATAAGGAGAAATGGAAAAGGATGACTGAAAAGCAAATGCTAACGCATGCCTCGCCACACTCGCCTTTCCAAAAAAAAACGGGCAAATAAAAACAAGAGTTGAATGTTTCAGTCGTTGTTGTTGTTGCTGCGCAAGGCAAACAACCGCTTGTGCTGACTAACAATGTGGCAAACATGTTGGCTTATATGTTGGTGTTCAGCATAAGCAGCACTAGCAGCGATTGTTGGCATAGCGGCCGCCTGAGGGGTTGTCGGCTGGTGATTTTGCTGCAAACACAAACACACATAAAGCGCACAGTTTGCTGATAGAAATGTATACATACATACATATGTATGCATACGCTGTTAAATACCAAAAATTCTATTTACGATTGGCTTTATTGGAACTAATACATATATATAGCGAGAGTTTGTATTCGAAAACTGCAAAAAAAAACGAAAAAACTAATGTTTTCCCTGAAAGCAATTCACAAATATTTATACAGGACTCGCTTTGTGAAAAACTGTCAGTGTTAGGATTTGTTAGTTGAATTCGCTCGAAATTCATTCGTAGTCCGGAATTGTATTTAGTTGCGAGCATGACTCCCAGCAGTTTCTCTAACAATTCACTTGCATTTTTTTAACATTCCATAATTCACCTAACTAGTGCTTATCAGTAAAAAATAATTAGCTCTGAATTCGAGCATTCCGCATGAGCAGCTGTGTGGAAAACTCAAACTAATAGTAACCAAACTAATTCATAACAAATCAGCTTAGGAAGAGTAAGAAAGGAGAAGAAACTTCTCACATTTAGTATTTGAGTTTAAGCAATCTAGCACTAGCTTTTGTGTGCGATGAAGACCTGTGAAATGTAGATTAAAATTCAATCTCCAAAAGTTGAGAAGTCAAGCTTTTAAGGAGATAACTTTTACAAGAGCCTCTCCTGTATCGCGTCTGCATCGGGAGCCTCGTCATCTTGAATGAGTTTCATTTTGGCTTTGTGAAAACCAAAGCGTATTTTTTTTTTGTCTGTACAAAAAACAGCGGCCACACTTAAGACCTCAGCTACCGGACAGTTTCAGAGGCTGTGATCCTAGTTATAAGTGGTATATTGCCTTGGCAGCAAAAAAAAAACGGAAAATGAAGTGGAACCGAAAACAGGCTACAAACACAGCGGAAGCATCGCAAGAAAAAAAAAAACGCAAACTCAATCTATATGGCAGAAGCGATGGAACGCGGAGAAGCGAGGCAGATGGACGGCAAATCTCATTCCAGAAATAAATAAACGGGTGTAAAGAGGCCACGGAGGCGTAAACCATGAGATCACCCAGCTGCTGTCCGGACACGGTTACTTTGGTAAATACACAGAATGTCGAAAGTGGAGACACCAAGTGGCACATACGACGCCGAGATAGATGATGCAGAGCACACGTTCTTCAAACATCACAGATGAAAGTCAGAACGGGATGCATTAGAACGAAAAGTGGGGAAAGTATCCGCCGACAACATCGTCGTAAAAATTATAGGTAACGAAGAAAATTGAACGATATCGCAAAATACGTTGAAAGTATCCTTACCTTACCACTCACTTTCCCCACAGCCAAAAAAAAAACACTGTCGGAACGCTGAAAAGGACACAATAAAACGCAGAGACGCGTAAACTTAATTTTTGATCGTAGATTACGGATCTGCATAAAGTGGTGAAAGTATCCGCCGACAACATCGTTGTAAAAATTATAGGTAAAGAAGAAAATTGAACGATATCGCAAAATACGTTGAAATTATCCTTAACTCGAAAAAGTGGGAAATGTAACCGTACAAATGAGCGGCAAACTGATCCCAGGGCTACACCACTCACTTTCCCCACAGCCAAAAAAAAAAAAAACACTGTCGGAACGCTAAAAGGACACAATAAAAGGCAGAGACGCGTAAACTTAATTTTTGATCGTAGATTACGGATCTGCATACCATTTTTTTTTGATCAGATAATTTTCCCAAGATATTTCCATTTTACGTTTTCATTATGAATGAAACTTTAACGTGGAAAATTTTACTCATACGCCATGTACGAGTATGGCAACGTACATGACGTATGAGTAACATCAGGGGTATTCACGATCCGGCGAATACTCTTTGACATGGTGCTTTATGCATAAATAGCATGATTGGCCAATTTTGTTGTTCTTTGAACACATGAAATAACAACAATAACGCTATTTATGCTATCTATGCACCATGCCAAAGAGTATGCACCGGATCGTGAATACCCCTACTTTTTCTGCTCATATTTCATCAAAAAAATGTATACGCCTTTTCCTTTGACCATTCATAACTTTTTTGTCTATCCTTAGATTTTCTTCGTTAGTAGCATGATTTTTTTTTTGTAAAAGAACAGACCTCAACACATTCATATGTGTC